GTAGACTAACCCCAATAAAAACTCTATTTTCTAGAGAAATGAAAACATCTAAGGTCTTAAACCTCTTTCATATTCATACTATGTCAGTGCATGATGTAGCTACGCAATAAAACAAAATTTTCATATTTTCTTATTTTTCTTGTAATATGTGGGCTAACCCCTACGAAAATACTGAATTTTCTGATAAATACTATCTATAGTATTTAATCTCTTTAGTGTTATTTAAAAATAAGTAATCACACCATAAACTTACTTATATGTATGGTAAACGTTTTTCATGGTAGATGGGCATCATTTCTAATTTTTTATTAAGTAATTTACTTAAACTTCATATAACACCTAATAAGTGGAATAACCCCTACAAAATCTCTATTTTCTAAAGAAATGGAAACATCTAAGGTCTTAAAACTCTTTAATATTCATACTATGTTAGTGCATGATGTAGTTATGCAATAAAACAAAATTTTTATATTTTCTTATTTTTCTTGAAATATGTGGGCTAACCCCTACGAAAATACTGAATTTTCTGATAAATGCTATTTGTAATATTTAATCTATTTAGTGTTATTTACAATTAACTAATCGCACCATAAACTTATTTATATGTATGGTAAACTTATTTTTATTGTAGATGGACATCATTTCTAATTTTTTATAAAGTAATTTATTTAAACTTCATATACCATCTATTAAGTAAACTAACCCCAATAAAAACTCTATTTTCTAGAGAAATGAAAACATCTAAGGTCTTAAACCTCTTTAATATTCATACTATGTCAGTGCATAATGTAGCTACGCAATAAAACAAAATTTTCATTTTTTTATTTTTCTTGTAATATGTGGGCTAACCCCTACGAAAATACTGAATTTTCTGAATACTATCTATAATATTTAATCTCTTTAGTGTTATTTAAAAATAAGTAATCATACCATAAACTTACTTATATGTATGGTAAACGTATTTTCATGGTAGATGGGCTTCATTTCTAATTTTTATTAAGTAATTTACTTAAACTTCATATAACACCTAATAAGTGGAATAACCCCTATAAAATCTACATTTTCTAAAGAAATGGAAACATCTAAGGTCTTAAACCTCTTTAATATTCATACTATATCAGTTCATGATGTAGCTATGCAATAAAACAAAATTTTCATATTTTCTTATTTTTCTTGAAANTTAAACTTCATATAACACCTAATAAGTGGAATAACCCCTATAAAATCTACATTTTCTAAAGAAATGGAAACATCTAAGGTCTTAAACCTCTTTAATATTCATACTATATCAGTTCATGATGTAGCTATGCAATAAAACAAAATTTTCATATTTTCTTATTTTTCTTGAAATATGTGGGCTAACCCCTTTGAAAATACTGAATTTTCTGATAAATGCTATTTGTAATATCAGAAAAACTCTATTTTCTAAACCCTAAACCCTAAACCCTAAATGAAGGCAACAACTAATCGGTCATGTGGATCCGAGTAAGTCCACTGCTTCCGGTGCTGGGATAGGTGGAGGAACGGCTTGTGCACCGTCAACGTTTATAGTTGTGACGAAGAACTTTGATGGAAGGAGAGTTCCTAATGGTGGAGCTTTGATTAGGGTAAGTGTATCCTGGTGTGGGTGTTGGTGGTACAGATCAAGAGGGTGTGGTGAAAGATGTTGGAGATGGCATTGCCTCGGCGGCGATTCTCATTGATCAGAGCAGTGTCTCCAATTCGCAATGTGTGGTCTTCAAGGTGCAGTTTCGGTCAGCCCTTGTTCTCACATTGGTGGTCACAAATACACTGGAGAAGAAATTGAAATTTTGAGAAGATCACCTACGGGGAGGTGTCTCAAAAACCAGACAACAATGTCCAGCACAATAGGAATTCATCTTGGTGTTTGGAGGAGAACATTACCTCAGAAAAAGAAATCTCTGTAAAAAGTGAGCCTTCTCAGGTAAGTAGCAGGGAGAAGGGATCTTCTTATGGGTTCAAGGTTTGTGCTACGATGTCAACGTGGTTGGAGAATTGGGAGAAAGAAGATACGTATGCTGCTTTATCTGTTGTTTGTGCTGCTGCATCTGTGGCTATTGCGTTTAACTGCTACAAACAATTGAAATGAAACCGTTTGTTATATATCTTTGGAATGGTTTATTATTATCTCAGCTCATTAGAATGATCCTCTTCGTCTGTATAGAATTGGAAGAGGATGGTTTTATGTAAGAACTGTTTGTTGATAATATATTATTAGACACCTCTGGTATTTGGGTTAAGATCATGAAAAGTGGTTTTTTGGATTCTTAATGGTTCGTGTCTCTTAACATTTAGCTTAAGAAGATGGTATAGACAGTCTCAGATGTTTGAAGAATGATACAAATCTCGTTATTGCTTTCATATTGAAATTAATAGTATGTATATCTATCCAGATAGAAAGAAAAAATGTTTTTTTTTCATTTTGTTGAGAATGAGTTTGTGAACTTTTTTACTTCTCTCTCTGAAGCATATTTGCAAATAGTTTGGTATGCGTCTTATAAGTCTCCTTCTTCCTTTGCAGAATTTTTTTTTCCGAGCTGTTAGGTTTACAGAAGAAGAAATGGAGATGGTCCTGGAGAGAACCCAGATGTAAAGTTGACGCCTTCGATAAAATCAGTGCTCGTGTTGTTTCTCTTGAGTCTCCGAAACTCGATGTATTCGCGCTTCAGGGTCTGATTGCAAACTCAATGTCTTCGTGCTTCAGGCTCTCTGAAACTCGATGTCTTTGCCCACACTCACTCAGATTGTGTGAGCCGTGGCGGTCCCAAACCAGCAGCTGATCTCCGCCGTCACATTCTGCCATGCTCGAGACATCTACCACGGTGATCACAAAGTAGAGAATCTGCTTTTAGATCAGAAGGGTAATCTCAAAGTCTCGGATGGCTGCCTAGACCCGCAAGTTTGAATGCTTTCGATATCATATCGTTTTTGCAAGGTTTTCTATATATCATGTTTGTTTGATCATGATGGGCTCTAGGTATTGTTGTTTTGCAGATTGCTTTTGACTTGTGGGCTACGTATGGTTTCCCAGTAGATTTGATTCAGGTATTTAGCTCATTTGTAATTCGAGAGAAAGCATGTCTTGGTCCAGTGAGAGATTGTCGAACTGCAATAAACATTTCAAACAAAGCATCTCTATTTACAACAAGAACAACCGCAAAGATCGTTTCAGCCAGTCACATATTCTTTAAAACGTACATGTATTTCTGCAGCAGTAGTGTCACTAGAACACCAATCTGACAAGTAAAACATACGTACTGATGTTGATCACGTAGCCAGTCACAAACACGTATCTGTATAGCAGGTGAGGAGTGATGATGTTGATCACAGCCAGCAACAACACTCTAAAAATTTAACATTCTCAGACCCAAACTTCTCCTGAAAATTAAATGTTATTCTTACAAATTGATTTATAAACTCTTAAAAATTGATTTATAAACCCTTATAAAGTTTTTTTATAAACTCATATGAACTAATTTATAAAGGCTTATAAACTAATTTAAGGGTTTAGAAGTTTTTATAAATCTTTATAAATTTATTTTTTATTCATTATTAAATCCTTATTATATGATTTATAAACTTTCATAGATTAAGTCTTACAAATGGTTTCATAAACCTTATAAGAATTTAACAAACCCTTATAGAACCTTTATGAAACTTAATGTACACTTACAAATACTTTAAAAATATTTTTTATAATTTATAAAGCCTTATAAAAAACTAATAATAATTTATAAATATTTATAAATGACCTCCAAACCATTATAAACTAATTTATAAAGGCTTATAAACTAATTTAAGGGTTTAGAAGTTTTTATAAATCTTTATAAATTTATTTTTTATTCATTATTAAATCCTTATTATATGATTTATAAATTTTCATAGATTAACTCTTACAAATGGTTTCACCACATCATTCCTTATATCTTTTCTCTCTTTGGTCTTTCTTACCTTTCGTTTCTGTTTTTATTGTACTATCATGACTCAGGGAAGCTGGATAACTAAGTCTAATGGCAAGAAAATGGAAGAGGTGAAGCCAAGACTGAGGATCTCTATCCCAAAATTTGATAACTCAGATCTCATTGCCAGTTACTCAAGGACTCTTATAGGAAGGTGTATGAATCCTCCGGTGCAAGATACGAAGACTTTGCTGTTCTTGTTCCCGAGATTTTGGGGTGTCGAGGGCCGTGTGGTGGGAATTGACTTGGGGCTAGGGTGTTTCCAGTTTAACTTCGAGAGGGAGGAAGACATTGTGGAGGTGCTCAAGATGGAGCCTTTTCACTTTGACTTATGGATGGTAGCTTTGGTGAGGTGGAAGCCGATATTGGAGCCGAATTATCCATCACGCATCACGTTTTGGGTTCATGTCTTGGACATGCCACTTCAGTTTCGAGTTCCTCAAATTTTTCAAGGCGTGGGAGAAGCTTTGGGACTAGTTAAAGGTCCTCCGGATCTCGTTGAAGGTAGGGTTCGCGTAGAGATTGACGGGTTTAAGCCTTTGTGTTTTCAGCCACGATTGAGATAGAAGGAGTGGAGATCACAGTCAATCTAAGGTATGAAAAACTGATTGGATATTGCACGGAGTGTTTTTGCCTCACACATGATAAGTTGAGGTGTCCGAAGTTGATCAAAGATGTTCCAGAAAGCTCTATTGGGGATAAACTGGGTATGGAGGGAGCAATGGCTACTAGTTATAAAGCAGTTGTTGTTCATGGAGATAGACAGAATGGTGATCGCAGAGTTGGTCAACAAAACCGGTACCAAGGTCATAGAGGTGGTGATAAAGGTAAAGGTATTGCTAAGGAACCACAAGGAGATGTGAGAATGGAAGGTTCTTTTCACCCTTATCGTGAGAAAGGCTCCAGGGGTCACAAGGCGACACAATATGGTAATAAAAGGCCTGGGAATCATTCCAGGGGATCGAAACAAGCTCATAGTAATGGAGGGCATCAAGTTATGGAAAACCCAGAGAAACTAACGATCGATGCTTTCAGAGGAGTTGACGGATCACCTCCAATGGAAAGGTTTCAAACAGACAAAGATGCTGGTGGTGGTACTTCATCAAAGGCTCGTAAAGCTCTGCTCTTTGAGGAGGAGGCACCAGGGGTTGTAGTGGAAGCTCAGCATCTCGAGAATGAGATAATACCAGTGGAAAACTTCAATGGAGATCACGTAGAGGAAGCAGGAAGTGACAAAGTTGTGGAGGTGCAAACGCAGTCAAATGGGAATGGAGTTGACTTGATGGCGGAAGGGGAGATGATGTCGGATTCAGAGCTTATCATGGAGGATGGAGAGTTGGAAGGTTGGGAACAAGGTGCTGAAACGAATTTCATGGAGGACAATAATATGGTTAATAATGACCAAGCTCTTGCAGACTTGGAGATCGCTAATGATCATCCCCAAACAACCTTGGAAGCGAAAAATTTGGGAGACACAAGCAAGGGAATGGACGGCAAGTTAAAGGCAAAGAATGGTACTGTGGATGCAGGAGGCCCTTCTAAGAAAAGAAGTGCTTCAGTGTTTGCTTCACCTCGCAAGAAGTTGTTGGCACAAGCTACTGCTAAGGTAGGTGAGAAAGGCTCCAGGAAGGTTACTGGTAAGCCTAAGATTCCACCTCAGTAAGTGTAACGACCCTAAACCGGGTTCTTTTCTTAAACCGGTTTAGTGGGTTAATTAATTCTTTTTTTTTTATTAAACCAAAGCTTCTCTTGCTAATGATTTTTGTGCGTGTGTTTATAAAGAAGTCAAAACCCTATTAATTATTATCGGTTGTGGAGAAGAGCCGCCAATGTAATCACCATCCCTGATCGTATCTATCTCTCCACCTTCTTCCTTCCACCATTTGTGCTCTCTCTTGCTCATCACATGTGTCACTCTTTCTCCTCCTCCTTTTGTTCACGTGCTGGTGTGTTTGATTACGGAGGGGACGTGACGCATACACCGTTGATGATCACCACCAGTCACTACTCTTCATCGCATGTCCATGGATCACCGCTGCGGAGCCGTAGTTCACACCAGAGGATCTACTCCGGTCACCAGTGATATGTATCTGTGGAGTTTTAGCTTTTCCAAGAAGGTTATTTCATCTTGTAGTTGTTTCTTTTGCTGCAAGCAACGTATTTTATTAGTGAAACCTAAAGCTAATATTTTTGTATTTATTTATTCTTGTCATGGTGTTGTTCTTATGCAATCGTGCTTTGGATCGTGTTAATTCTCCATTGAAGTTGGCAAACCCCATCGCTTGCTTGATTCAAGATGAACCCTAGGTTTCTTGGTGCTCAAGTCATCTTGATTGTTTTCTGATCCATTTCCGGTTCTCCGATAAGACGAATGTGAGGGCTATTCCGTTTAAATCCCGAACTAGTTTAGTACTACTATTATGAAAAGTTTAGTTGCGAAACATGATCCGTCTCTGTGAATTGAGTCTGTTTGAGAGTCTTATTTTGTTGATTTATAGTTATTGATTGTTAAACCGGACATAGGATAATAGAGGATTCAACGGTTGTGTGACATGATTGATGTTAAGAATTGCTATATGTATATGTATATATATATAAGTCCATGTGTGAGAGATTGCGGGGGTGCAGAGACGTCTGTACTAGCGACGCCTTGTTTGAGAAGATTGCGGGGGCACATAGACGTCTGTGCTAGCGCCGCCTTGTGTGGAGATTGCGGGGTACAGAGACGTTTGTACTAGCGCGCCTTAGAGATTGCGGGGGTACGGAGTGGACTACCGTACTAGCGACGCCTGTAGAGTCATATATGTATATCCGTATGAGAGATTGCGGGGTGCAGAGATTAGCTATGTACTATCATCGCATTGATTGTTGTTGTATGGTGCTCTAGGCATATGTTTGTTCTGTGAGGTGTAATAGACACCGTGTTTGTCTCATGCTAGAGCTAGGCCTACATAGTCGTAGTGCTATGTACTGAGTCAGTGGTTTGTGGTTTAGCATCCCATACCTCACTGAGTGACTCCCCTGTTACTCACCCCTCTTTCTTCCCCATTTCAGGTGATACTGACGATCAGGAGTGATCATTTCGGACGGGTGCTTTTGGGAGTTTTATTTATTTATTTTTAGATTTATTTTTATCGTTATTTTTGAGATTTATTATGTTATTTGGATTTATGGAGTTTGGAGATGATTTATGCGATTTAATAAATGGAGATTTCAGACATTTTTATTTATTTTATTATTTTGAAAAATGCGGGTGTTACAGTAAGGTTCTCCAGGTTGATTGTTTTTTATTCCAGTTTTATTTAAATAATGTTGGTTTCGAGTATGAAATCCCATCTTGCTAAGTTGTTTTCTTTTGGTCTATTTTTAAGTTATTTCTTGTTTTGCTCTGCTTTATGGCTGATTCAAGCCTTTAGGGTAATGCCCTATGAGTGGATTTTCTACTCAATTAATAAAACAGTTTTTCATTTTTATTCTGATTCTTCTTGTTTCGTTTGGAAGTTGGTTACTTATTTCTCCCCTGGTTCATGGTCTTTGGTGATACTTTATGTGGACTCTTGTCGTCCATTGTGCTTGTATCCAATCCATGAGATTCAGATTATGTACGAAGCTTGGTGTTGCAGGTTGTTATATGGTACCTATGGATTTACCTTCTCTGGTATAGCTCTGGAGAGTGGGTCAACGGGGTTGGTTTTCACACATTACAGGAAATGGTTAATCACTGGTGAAGTATGTATGGGGTGTGCACAAGAACTTATGTTTATGGCTTTCGCTAGTTATGTAAGATTACATGAGAAAGGCCGGTACTGGTGGATAATATTGATATTTCATGTACGTGTCAGTTGTACAAAATTGGTTAGCATATTTGCATTATGCAAGGTGCTTTGGATATTGTTTATTGCGTTTATGAAGCACTACCTGAGTGTTAACAGAATTTATATATGGATGATAATTCTGTGCATGATATTTCGTTCAAATGGAGTCAAATGGGATTTTACAAAGGTCACGTATAAGATAACGAAAACTTTGTATATTAAAATATTATTTTCAATGGTTCTTAGTACTTTATGGATTATACTCTATATATTTTATGAGTATTTGCATAAATTTTCTTGGTATGATAAAGTGGGTGAGAATTTATATACTCACAAGATTTATAAAGTATATAAATTCTGTTGTGGATATAAAATAATAGGTGGATGTTTACTGGAATGTATTGATATGGGATCTCTTAAAAATTTTACAAAATTTTTTAATCATGAGTATTTTAAGTTGGAATTGCAGAGGAGCTGGTAATTCAGATACAGTCCAACGTTTCGGGATTTTCGTCGTCAATATTTCCCGGATTTTTTATTTCTCATGGAGACGAAACAGAAATTTGGTTATATGGATGCTTTAAAAGCAAGTCTGGGTTATGATCATTTACACACGGTCGAACCTGTTGGTCGGAGTGGTGGTTTATCCCTAATGTGGAAAGGTTGTTACTAAGTGGAAATTTTGTATAGCGATAATAGAATTATCGATCTTAAAATTACAATGGGTTCGTTGGTATTTTTTATGTCATGTATATATGGTGATCCAGACAGAGGAAGGAGACAATTTGTTTGGGATAAACTAATAGATATTGGTGTGAATAGGGACGACGCTTGGGTCTTGGTGGGTGATTTTAATGAACTAATGAATAATGAGGAAAAATTAGGTGGAGCTATCAGAGATGAAACCACTTTTTTTTTATTTCCGTAATATGGCTGAAGCATGTAAAATCAGAGAAATGAGGTATACTGGAAATTCTCTTTCTTGGGCTGGTAAGCGGGATCATCACTGGGTACAAAGCCGGCTTGAGAGGACCTTTGGTAACGCAGAATGGTTCCGGTTTTTTCCCCAATCGTCTACTGAATATATGAGTATGTGGCCCTCTGATCATCGACCTTTACGTGTAGAGTTTGCATATGAACCGGAAATATTACAGAGGGGTCGATTCTATTTTGATAAACGTTTATTTGGGAAAGGAGGGGTTAATGAGGCTATTATCCGCGGATGGGATGCTGAGAACGTAAACTCAAATTTATCGGTTCTTGATCGTATCGCTCGGTGTAGGTCGGAATTATCTAAGCTTAAAAAGGCGAATGATTAGAATTCAAAAACTAGGATTGACCGGTTACAGAGTGACTTAGATAAAGAAAGTTCCAAACAATTTCCTATCTATGCTTTGATGAGACGTTTAAGACAAGAACTGGCTGCGGCTTATCGGGAAGAGGAGATTTTTTGGAGACAAAAAAGTAGGGAGGAATGGTTAAGGGAAGGAGATAGAAATACCACATATTTTCATAATGTGGTAAAGGGGAAAAGAATCAGAAATAAAATTTTGATGCTCAAAGATATATTTGGTAATGAACATTATTCGGAAGGATTGAAAGGACATATTGCTACAGAATATTTTAGGGAGTTATTTACCAGTTCCAATCCAACTGATCTGGAAACATTGTTCGATGGTTTTGAAAGTAGGGTTACCTCCGAAATGAACACATTATTAGTAAGGGAGGTAACCACTGAGGAAATCAAGGATGCAGCTTTTGGTATCAAAAGTAGTAGTGCTCCTGGTGAGGATGGTCTTACGGGTTTTTTCTATCAGAAATATTGGCACATTATAGAACAGAAAATTATTCAGGATGTTCAAGGTTTTTTTTAAAACAGCCATCATTCCTGCAGGGTGGAATCATACACAAATATCTTTGTTGCCTAAAACTTTGAATCCTACAGAAATGAAGGATATGCGCCCAATTAGTTTGTGCAGTGTCCAATATAAAATCATTTCTCGTATTCTATGGAACGTATGAAGACGGTTTTGCCACATTTAATTTCAGAAACTCAAGGGGCTTTTGTGGGAGGCAGGTTAATAACGGACAATATTATTATAGCTCACGAGCTCGTACATGCGCTTCGTACAAATGAAAAAATTGGTAAAGAATGTATGGCCATTAAAACTGACATGTCAAAGGCTTACGATCGGGTGGAATGGAACTTCCTAGAAGTTTTATTAGAAAAATGGGATTTCATAGGAAATGGGTTGTCTTGTTAATGTCATGCATCACTACTGTCACTTTCTCGGTTCTACTTAACGGACGCTCCCATGGTTTTATTAAACCAGAAAGAGGTATTCGCCAAGGGGATCCGTTATCTCCCTTTTTATTCATTTTATGTGCCGAAGCTCTAGTTCATGTACTAAATAGATCGGAAGCACAAGGGAAATTGCATGGTATAAAGCTAGCTACGGGCAGTCCTTCTGTCCACCATTTGTTGTTTGCAGATGATAGCTTATTGCTATGTGAAGCCTCTGTAAGTGACAGTGAAGAAATTATGAAAGGTCTAAAATGTTATGGAGATGCTTCTGGGCAAATGATTAATCCCTTGAAATCCTCCATTATTTTTGGAAAAAAATAGATAATGCCCGTAAACAGACGATCAAAGATGTTTTAGGTATACAAAAAGAGGGTGGTGAGGGGTCATATCTTGGTCTCCCTGAATGTTTTCAAGGCTCAAAAAAAGCGCTCCTCAATTTTATCAAGGAAAAATTAGAAGGAAGGCAACAGGGATGGTACTCTAAAACTTTGTCAATGGGTGCCAAGGAAGTTCTAATAAAATCAGTTGCTTTGGCACTACCGATATATGCAATTTCGGTCTTTAGGTTACCAAAAGGTCTGTGCGAAAGAATTACGAGTGTGATAATAGAGTTCTGGTGGAGCAGTGGAGATAAAAAAAAAAAAGAAAAATACCTTGGGTCTCTTGGGAAAAACTATGTAAACCAAAAGAACAGGGTGGTCTTGGGTTTCAGGATATTGGTCGTTTTAATCAGGCGTTGCTGGGGAAATAAGCTTGGCGAATATGGAATAACCCAGATTCGTTGGTTGCCCGAATACTTAAAGGTAAATATTTTTAAAATGGTGATTTTTTGGAATGTGGAATGGGGACACGACCGTCTTATGCATGGAGGAGCATCATGCACGGAAGAGAATTACTTAAACAAGGTTTATATCGACATATTGGTACTGGTTCTGACACGAATGTCTGGGCTGAGAACTGGATTATTGACACTATTCCACGGCCACCAATGTATCGAGAAAACAGTTCGATAAATTTAGCTCTTAAAGTTTCGGATTTGTTACGACAGGGGTCTAACCAATGGGATATGAGTCTGTTACAGCAGACTTTTACGCCTGAGGATGTGCAAAGGATATTACTCCTGAAACCATCAATGTTATGTGCGGACTCTTGTAAATGGGGTTTCACACCAAATGGTTCTTATACGACGCGAAGTGGATATAAATTATTAGAGGCTTTGGTGGACTATGATCACCCTCAAGGGCAATCGCTCACCCCTATGGAAAAAAAATTATGGCGGGAGTTATGGAAAAAAAAAGCTCCACCAAAAATTAAACATTTCATGTGGCGGGCACTATCAGGTGCTTTAGCTGTGAAGCAACGTTTGAATACTCGGGGTATTCCGATAGACCCAACCTGCCCAGTTTGTGGAAATGAGGTGGAGACTATTTGTCATGTCTTATTCACATGTGTTAAAGCACGTGACGTATGGGATCAAGCTAATGTCCCAGTTCCTTTAGGAGGTTTCTCTAGGATTCGACATTTTTAAACTTTGTTCATTTACTTAAGATTGCTAAGAGCGATTCTTTGGATATCCATACAAAAAAGGTTTTTCCATGGTTGTTATGGGAAATATGAAACGCTAGGAACTCATTTATTTTTAAGAGTCAGGTTTTAGAGTCTTCTTATATTGCTAAGAGGGCATATGAAGAAGAACTCTCATGGCACGATACATTTACTGGATCGATGGATCAAGTGGATAATATGGTCATAGAAAAGATTCGATTGATGAAACCCCCCGCTGGATTCCTAAAATGTAATGTAGGATCCTCATGGGTAAACCAAAATCAGCCGAGTGGTGCATCATGGATTCTTCGCGATGAAAAAGGAATCACAATCATGCATAGTCGTCGGGCCTACTCATATATGCGCACAAAAACCGAGGCCGACCTGTGGACTCTCTTCTGGGCAGTGGAATGTTTGCACAACCTACACTTCGCGAATATTATTGTGGAGACCTCCTCGGATTGCTTACATGAAGCTATGACAAATCCTACTGCACACCTTAGCCTCAGCCACATCCGTCACAGCATCCTCTGGCTTCTGACAAGCATTGATTCCTGGAGTTTGGATCATACTCTTTCCGAACGTAATGAAGCTGCAGCGGCCATTGCTCTCAGTGTCACTCGGGATAGGCGCCATCAGTCGTATATCGCTCGGAATGCTCCATCATGGCTACATCACCTTCTCGTATTGGAGGTTAAATAAGTAAGGAAGTGGGTAATTCTTGCTTCTATTATCATACATTATTGTAACGGTGTCTACTGACATCTTTCTTCTCGTTATTAGTCTTTACATTTGTTCCCTTGAACTTTGTTTACTACTCAGTGTTATAAAAAAGTGTAGATTAATTTACATCCCCCAATACATTAAAAGAGAAATCATTTTAATGATTTTTGTTTACGTGCCACTCATACAAAGCACTTTCAAATTAATTTTCTTATTTTCATTGGTTCTTTTTTATTAATTTCTTTTTGATTTATTTTTAAATCGGCAGAGAAGAGTTAACCTAAAACAACTTAATCTTGGTTTCCAAATACTCTCATTCCTATAAGCACTTAATCTAGGCTTCCAAACACTCTTATTCCTAGAATTAGTATATATATATATATATATATATATATATATATATATATATATATATATATATATATATATATATATATATATATATATATATTATACTCTTTAGAACATTATTATAAATTAGATATACTAACTCCTTAAAACATTGGTAAATATATATATATAATTAAATTTAGTATAAAATATAATTTTGGTTTTCAACCTCCGATAATATATTTTCATAAATCTAAATTGTATGTGATTTCTTATCCAGGTAAGAAAAACACACACATACATTTTATTTTATGCTAAAATATGTTAAAAAATAGTAATTATTTCTTATCCTTTATATAATTATTGTTAGAAAAACGCATATACATATTATACTAAAATATAATTTTTAACATGTTTATTAATTACAATATCGAAACATGAAGGATTAAATATTTACCCACCAAAAATCTGCATTCAATTTAAAATTATTTAAATATTCCTAAAAATCAAGAAAATAGAAACAACATTTAATATAGACAAAGAGGAGACAATATAATGTTTCCTTAATGAGAATATACATTTCTTGCGCATGTAAACATATCTAATTTATTTGTTAATTCCTTTTAATGATTTACCTTATTTTAATTATACATACCTTGCACAAGTTGTTAATTTCTTTAATTTATCTGAATAGATTTTTAAATCTATTAAATTTAATAATTCGTATTAAATGTTTTACCTTATTTAAAAAAATACAATACTTGCACAAGTTATTGATATGTCAATACAAGTTTAGAAATTTATCAAATTTATTAATTCCTTTTAATGACTTACCTTATTTTAATTATACATATCTTGCACAAGTTGATACTTTCTTTCATCTATTTGAATATATTTACTTTCTTTTTAAATTTAATAATTGATATTAAATGTCTTACCTTATTTTAAAAAATGGAAGCGCAAGTTATTGATATGACAATACACGTTTAGGCTTTTTATGTGTATAATGATGATTTTGATATGAAAATACGAAATTGTATTGATTTAAATAAATAGTTAATATAATAATTATTTATTTATAAAACATGATGTCTAATTTCATAATGAAGATTTTTTAATACCAGGATTTAACAAGTTATTTAATCTTTGTATGTTTGTAATCATGATTCTGATATGACAATACAAAATTGTATTGATTTAAATAAGTTTTAATTTAGAATTACTTTGTATGTTATTTATTCCTTTCTAGAAGAATTATAGCGATTATATTGGTTGATTTTTTTAAAATTTATTTTTTGATTTATTTTTTCCATCAACACTACTAAGAAGGGAAGCCCTCTAAATATTTACCTTATTTTGTAATTTTGATATATCATTTAATTCATCGATCCATCTAAAGTATTATTGAATACTAATTTCAAGGAAAAACATAATTTAATGACTAATTAACATCACTTTCCAAATGACTTACATAAAATATTATTAATAACTATTTATGGCAACTAATTGTAGAAAGTATGGTATATAAAGTCATTTTATCAATTCAAATAAATATTTGGATTCTAAATGACTTACAAAATATTATTAATAACTATTTATGGTAACTAATTATCGAAGATATGGTACAAATAAATATTTTGGTTTATTATTTTATGTAGTCTATAGATATATATAAGAATAGAAAGTCATTTTATCAATTCAAATAATTTTTTTAATTCATCGACACCCTATAAAAGGAAAGTAACATTGAATACTAATTGAAAAAGAAACAATAATGTAATCCCCCTATTAACATTACTTGAGCAAAATATTAGTTAAAACATTTAATAATTAGTTTCCTTATTACAAATAAATTACTTGCGCAAGAATTATGTTACCTTATTTGAAATAAACATTTCTTGCGCAAGTTAATAAAGGAATAACTTGCTTTAATTTATTTCGATATTTATTGTGAAAAATAAATATAACAACTTATTTATAAATAATTGTCGATAATATAAAGTTTTTCTTATTGAGAATATACATTTCTTGCGCAAGTTAGTATCACATTAATTCCATTTATAAATGGAAATATCGTTAATCCTCTTATCAAGTGATTTCGTTTTTAATAAATTAAAAATTATTTTAAATATGCAATACTTGCGCAAGTTGTTATTTATTAAATACAAACCAAGATTTGACAATGTAAAGTTAATAAATTTCTTTAATCTATTACAATATTTTTATACTAAAAATCAATATTGAAACGTCATTTATTGTGAAAGGTCGAGTATATATATATATATATATATATATAGATACTATAAGTATTTTCAGAACCTCTTGGTGATTCCGGTGAGGGCTAGGGTTACGGATCAGAGGTTGTGTTGTTCTCTTGATGCTGGGGAGATCTTGAGTTGATCAACTGTTTACTTAAAGCTAGAGCTCATCCTAATCAGAAAGATGAGGTAAAGAGCTCTTTAGCTCTTAAATGTTTTGTTTTGTTCACTTGATCCTATCTGAAGACAGACATTCAGGAAGGCAATAGGCCACTGGAAGTTGCAGCTATAAGAGAGAACAGAAAGATCTTTGAGACTCTCTTCCCCTTGACGACAAAACCTGAATCTGTTTTGGATTGGTCAGTAGATGGAGTTCTTGCTCACATGGAATCAAACAAAGAACAAGAAGACAGCTCAAGCAAGGCCAAATCTGGAGAGACTGGTATCAAGAAAGACCTTCCTGAGGTATACTTCATACTTGGATAAATATGATGCATTGAATGTTCTAAAGCTTACCGTTGTGTAAACTTGCACAGGTCTCCCCAGAAGCAAAGGCTAAAGCAGCAGAAACTAAAGTTGAGGACAAGATGCTTTTCATAGAAAAGGATTATCAGATGGCCATTGACGCATACACACAAGTATTAAAAACACTTAAAACTACTTTACTGAGTTCTTCATTTTGTAAGTTCATTTTTGTGACTTTGTGGCATTTTTTTTGGAACCAAGGCTATTGATTTTGAGCCTACGGATCATACTTTGTTCTCAAACCGAAGCATCTGTTGGTTGCGGTTAGGACAAGCTGAGCTTGCCTTGTCCGATGCCAAAGCATGCAGAGAACTAAAACCTGACTGGCCTAAAGCTTGTTTCAGAGAAGGTGCTGCTCTTCGTTTGCTACAGGTAATAACAATTCCATTGATTTATTGAACATTGAAACAATATAATTCACCGAGTTATTGTTGAATCTTTGCAGCGTTTTGATGAGGCAGCCAATGCTTTTTACGAGGGATTGTTGCTAAGCCCTGAAAACAAAGAGCCCACTGATGCTTTCAGGTTTGTTTTGCAACCCTTATGACGTTTTTGGCTTTTTAACCGGTTTGTATCAGTTTATAACTGATGTGTCTATGTTTTTCTCTCTTTGGTCTACAGAGAATCCGTAGATGCTGGAAGGAAGTTTCACGGCAAGGACAAGATTACACACAAATGATAAGATGTTCGAGAGATTTGTCTATTTTTTGGTATATGTGTTATTTGGATATCTGCTTCTTACCTTGGTGACTTGGTCTCTTCTTTAAGCAGTTGTCTATTTTATTTTTTACTTAAATGTGCTAAAAACTTCAGGAACAAAGTTTTGTTTGTGCTCTTATTTGGTTCAAATTTATAAATTTATGCATGTTCTTTGTGATCCATAGCAAGATCAAATTTATCAAGAAACTAAGTGGATGCCCGCAATTTTGCAGGTTTGAATGTTTAAATTGTTTTTATGACTTTCTTGCATTTAATCAAATAAAAAAAATTAATGAAGTTTTGTAAGGTCACAATAAATAAATAAATATTATTTTAAAAAGATATAGAGAGAAAGAGATGCCCTCATAAGCCATGCATAGTCGCCGCGCGTATTCGTGCATGCGCACAAAAACAGAGGCTGATTTGTGGGTTCTCTTTTGGGCGGTAGAATGTTTACACAATCTTCACTTTTTAGAAATTATTTTTGAAACGGCTTCGGAGAGTCAACGAGATGCCCTCATAAGCCAGGATGAGCACCAGAGCTTCAGCCATATACGACATAGTATCAATTACCTGCTCGCCAGTTTTTCTTCCTGGAGCTTGGACCATGTTCTTCCCGAACGTAATGAAGCTGCCGCTGCTATTGCCCTTAGTGTCACGCGAGATCTTCGTCTTCAGTCATACATTGCTCGTCATGCTCCAGCCTGGCTACACCACTTACTCTCGTTAGAAGCTCAGCAAGAAAGGGTCCTGATTCATGATGCGTGAACCAATTGCTTCTCTATCGCTGCTGAATTTAGTTGGTTTGTCTCCTTCTACTGCCTTTGCTTGGATGTCTCAGCATTTTAGTAAGTTGGGTGAGTTTAATTGATCTTGTTTATGATGTCTACTGACATCTTTTGTCTTTGTCCTTTTCCTTTCTTGTGTCTATCTTGTATCCCATGACATTTTCGATTCAGTGTTAAAAAAAAAAAAATAGAGAGAGAGATATTTAGAGATAGAAAGGGGGGGATACCAAAAAAGAGACTCAAATATATCTTTGCGGGTTTGAATGTTTTGTAACAATATATTTATTGTAATTTTTCAAATCAAAATATGTATTTATCCTCGAAATTGGATATGTCTTTTTATAAATTATTTTTCTAAGATAATTTTTTTTGAAAAAAATAAATATGACTATTTTAAATGTTTTTGATATTTTGTATTCAAAATTGTACTAAAGTTAGTTGTATTTAATATTTAAGTTTTGAAGGTATATATATATAGAGAGAGAGATAGGTCAAGTAGAAAGAAGTTAAAGATTACGATAGAGAGAGAGAGGGAGGCTGAGAGAAGACTGAGAGAAGACTGGAAGAGATATAAAAAAAGATGGAACTATATAGAGAGAGAAATAAAATAATTGAAACATAGAAAGAGAGATAAAATAATTGAAAGAGAGAGAGATATTTAATGTTTACTTTGTACCCTCTCGTCTAATGTTAAATATTGAGTATCGGCTTTTCTCCATGACTAAAGCTTTCTCCAAATAACGAGAGTATGATAATCCCGAGTCAATACGTTACTTCTAATGCTATACACTATGTAATCCATATTTCAAACTTTCTCATGCCCGCACAGGGTGCGGGCCGGTCACATAGTTAGAGTTGTAAGTGTTTTTTTCTTCTTGAAAGTAAAAGAAAAAGTGGTATTACAAATGTGGTATTTTTGGTAATATCTCATATAATATTGTCATTGACTAGATTAACTTTATTTAATTTTTTTAAATTTTTTTTAAATATGAGTGTTTTTTTCTTGCCTTAAATACAAAGTTGATAATAATATACCTATGTACCATGATTATAAATACAAATATTAATTGGAATTTATATGTGTAAATTAGTTTGTAATTATAAAATAAATATCTCACAACTTATGAAACAAAAAAAAATCCTAAAACTACAATAAAATTATTTATTGTTTTGTGTGTTTTTATTAAATTAAAACATCAAACAAAATCCGTTGCAACCTCAAGAACTTTATCTAGTAAATAATAAACAAACATATTATTACCGTTTAGTTTACAACAAAAAATTCCTATTGTGGTCCTATTTGTTTTTTTTAATATTTTTTCCGATTTTCAAGAACAAGTTCAAATATTTTGGATCATTTTGGGATTTTAAATTGTCAAAAATCTGAATTTAAAATGTACTTGAAAATTACAGATATTTTACGGGTATTAGTATTGTAAATCCCAACCAATTCAAATCTGAGAGAGACTGATCCGAATCTGAACCGATAACTTCAAAAATTCCTATTTTCGTTCCAAAACCCAAATGTCCCAGACCTAATCCGACCAAGGAAAAGGGAAATTAACATTTATTAGTTAAGTTAGATCCAGTGTTTTGAAATCCGACCCAGACCCGCGGTTGAACCGCTAAACCCAATGACCCAGAAAAAATCCGTTTTGGCTTTTGTAAAAAAACCCAATATTTAAAAATCCGCAAAAACCCACTAAAACCCAAAATCTGATACCGGTTGAACCATCGGTTAAACCAATATATAAGTTTTTCTTTCACTTTTTTTTTTAAATTATGTTTTTAAATTATGTTTGATATTCTACATTTCAAATTAAAAAGTTAGATTCTTCACTTATCAGTTTTATATTTATAATTTTTAGATTTTGATGAAGATTTCATTATACCACTTGAAGAAAATAAAGTGAAAGGTTGTATAATGAAATCTTCATCGAAATCTAAAATCTGGAACCCGATACCGGTTGAAAAAAATTATACATATTCAAACTATTATTTTATGCTTTAAAAAAATATTTAGAAAATACTAAAATTTAGTATTTATATTTTTTTTATTTTTATGTGGTCACCCGCAGTCGACCCAGTAACCCAATGACCCGGTAAATCGTCCGGTTCAGTGTCAAATGTTTTAAAACCCGACCGGACGAATTACCGTGTCACTGAGTTACTGGGTCGACTGCGGATGAACCGCGGATTACTAAATATATTAATTTTATTGTATAGCAAAATATTAGTTATGAAAATAAAAATATAAAAACTAAATGTTAATATTTTCTAAATAGTTTTAAAAAACATAAAATAATAGTTTGAATATGTATTATTTTGATGTTTAAAGATATGTCGAAAATACTTAACTTTAGTTTTACTAGGTATTGACCCTTGCGTTACACGGGTTTTGATTGATATTTTAATTTCATGATAAATATAAAAATCATAAAATTTTCTATCGCAAATGTAGCATTTTTATATATATTGTGTAAAACTTATTTAAGGTATAAAAAATTGTTTCCATGTAAGGTTTTGGTTGGTATTTAAGTTTATCTAACTATAGTGCATACATAATTATTAGAAACTTTGTATTTAAGATTAGATAAAAAATAAAGACCCAAAATTTTAAATCAAGCCCAACCTCAACAATATGAATTCGAGTGAATTACTGTGAATTAGAAAGTTAAATCGAGTCAATCGAGTCAAAGAGAACGTCATACACATTCTTATGCTCTTAATTTAATATTTTTATTAACTTGTTTTTTTTTCAAATAATTTTCTTTTCACTTTATAATTACGATAAAAAAATTTTATTAAACTAATTCAGTGTAGTTAACAAACACTCATAAACATAAATAAACATATTGAAGTAGTAAAATTGACGTATCTAACACAACCAATTTTAGATGGTAGATACAAACAAATACACATAAATATAATAGCAAATTAACTAACTTACAACAAATTTTTCCTTATTAAAATATATGGTAATTTTCCTTTTTAAAATAATCTGGTGATAAACATGATATGATAAATTATTTAATTAACGAATTCGAGATTATCCTTATTTTTTGTCATATATTTTCCTTTTTTTGTTGATAATGAAAATGATATTATAACTTATTTAATTAAAAGGCGTCAATATAAATAATATTAAAAAAATGCAATAACTATATAAAATAAATGATTCCATAGTACTTTTTATAATATAACCTAAAGATATTTGTAAAAATTTAAATAAATGGTTTCACGGCAATTTTCTATTTTTATAATATAACAATAACATATTTGTAAAAATTAAAATAAATGATTCCATAATAATTTTCCTTTTTATATTATAACCAAAATAATTATATAAAAAAGTACATGGTAATTTTCGTTTTTCAAAAAAAAAATTATTATCTAAGTATATATATATATATATATATATTGGTAATTATATTTTTAAACACATGTAAAATTATTTGAAGAATAATTACTATTGAATCATATTTTGTTTAAAATTTTAAAAATTGAAAAATTACTTTTAATATTATTTATAGTTACTTTTTAACAAAATCCTTTGTTGATAATGATATAAAGATTAGTTTTTAAAGTTATTTATTGATAATGATATAAAGCTTAGTTTTCAAAGAAATATTTCTAAAAAAGATTAGGACATAAAATTCATGAATATTTAAATATCTAATGTGAATAATAAATTAAACTTTAAATTTTATTATATAAAGTTTAGTTTTCAAAGTTATTAATTAACATTATCGCGACACATGTCAATTATATATTTAGGATTGTGACATGTGCTAACTACTAACTTTCTATAAATAGTTAATTAATAGTATTTTTTTTTATATCCAAATAAAAAATTGTAAAAGTTATCCAAAAATAACATATATGGAAGAAAATAATTTTCCTTTTTAAGAACAATTTCAAATTGTATAAGCTATATGAAAACAATTTTCTTTTTTACGAAATTCTAATTTTTTCCTTTTTAAAAATCATGAAAAACAGACTTATGCAACAAAATAGTAGTTTAAAAAATTGAAAATGAGTTATAAAAATCTGAGAATACAAAATATTATTTAAATTTTTTAAAAAAATTATAAAAAATCTTATTATATAAAAAATACGAATTATAAGAACCTGAGAATACAAAAAAAATATTTTATAATAAATTTAAATATTCCCTTATTAAAAATTTAAGAGCTTTTATTTTTTGTTTAGCAATCTTATTATTTTTATGTTGGTTCATCCAACAATCTTTTCTTGCTAATAATTATTTAATAGTAAGCTTTTACTAATTTTTGGTTATCTTTACAATCGTTCCCTTTATTATTTTTTATTTTTAAGGTGGTATATATATGTCAGACAAATACTATAAAATAGAAAAATATTAACGCTGCTTCTTCGTTCTCTCCTATCGGGGGGGTTAAGACAAACAAAGGGAAAAAAACCCCAGAAAACCTAATGGATCTGAACAAATCGAATCCGACGGAGGCGGCGGCGGAGGAAGGTGAAACGGCAAAGATGGATCCTTCAGACCTTGAGGTTAGTGAATTTACAAGTTGTTGAAGTGTCTATCTGATCAAAAATCTTTTCTAATTGATTTTTTTTTTGGTTTCAACAGGAGGAGGATGTGAGAGATGTATCGATGTGGAAGGGACTTGAAAAGTTTTCTTCGTCCGAAGATGAATGGAACGAGGATGAAACTAATCAGGCGATATTTCCTTTGTTCGTCGAAGATGAAGAATCTAACGGGGAGGAAACCGAGAAGTCGATATTGTCTTTGTCCGAAGCTGCCAAAAAGATGGATCCCTCACCTCTTGCGTCTTTTCTCAAACAAGTATTGGTAAGTGAAATTCGGATTTGATATGTTTTGTTTAAAATTCAGAAATCGAATTTTTAAATTCTGGTTTGTTTGTTTGTTAGGACGAGGATTGGTATCAACCTGCGAAGCAGATAATGAAATTAATTGATTACTATGGGATTCAACTTTCCCTAGTACCCTCCTTCCAATGGGTCAAGATGTTTGAGGAGTATCCTTTATCCAAGCTGATTCATGTGAGGAGGAGCTTTTGTGAATCATCTATAAAAGTCTTCTCAAGTGGTTAGGTTAGCTGATGATATATCTTTTTTTTTTTTGCAGGTTCCGTTATCTCTTATTCCTATGCCTGTTATCTCTTATTCCTATGCCTGTCTACGAAAAATCAATCGATTTCATCAACACGCTTCCATTCCATATACTACCGGCCGTTGTACTCTGGGCCTCTGATCTCATTCTCACTGAATGGCCAGGAGTTGTCAAAATTCAACAACTTAATTCTGACAAATCAAAGGTTCAATTTTTTTTGAATTTATTCAGTTTTGAACTTTTGTTTGTCTCTTCTTTGACTCCAATGTTTTGTTTTTTTCTAACTTGTAGGTGGCAGCATTTGTTGTATTAGCCATGGTGCTGCGTACTAAACCTGATGCCTTGACTCATGTTTTGCCAAATCTGAGGGAGATCCCTACATATCAAGGTCAGGACAAGCTTCCGGTTATAATTTGGATGATGGCTTAGGTTAAATTCTGACTTTAAAAAGAAATAAATTTTATGTGTTTTGTTCAGATTTCTCAATTTTTATTTAAATGGTGACAGGCCTCCCAAGGTGATTTATCTGCTAGCTTGTATTCATGGGTTCGTAACTTGCTGCCACTAGTCCCTAATAACAAGTGCTACAGCTCTCAGTCAATTCATCTCATCCTGCAATCTGTTGAGATGTGAGTCCACTTTTAATATTCCCTCCCTCCCTCCTGTGGAGAATTGCACTGGAGCAACTCCTTACGGGTGTTGGGAACCTTCTGGTAGACCTTCTCCTCTCCTTCTTTCTGTGATAAAAGACATGGTAATGGGTGTGTTTGAGCTCCATCGTGAGGGTATATGTTATCGAGACATCAGTGAAGACAGTTTCGTTCTTATTGTCGATGGAGATAATATTAGCTCAAGGCTTGGTAATCTAAGCATCTGTAAGCTCAAGGGGGACAGTGAAACCATTGGTGTCCAAAACCGAAAAGCACCGGAGCAGTTGCAGAAGAGGAAACCAATCGAGGGCTTGACCAACAACATCCATTTACTTGGACGTGTCGTTGGTTTTTGCATTACCAAGGGTTTACAAGTGTTTAATGATCATGGGT